CTCGGTGGCGTGGACCTGGTGGCGGGACGTTAGCGTTGCGATGGCGGTGACTAGGTTTAGATGTCGTGTTGATAGTTGATAGAGCAGTGACTGTCGTCTGTGTAAGTACCAGAAAGAGTTGTTCAGAGGAACCAGGAAATACCAGGTGAAGCCGGTTGGACCAGTGAAGTGTAAATACTGTCCCAGGTGAATTGATGTGCATGTTGAAAATGACCAGCGTTCTATTTATTTAACTCTAACGTTGACTCTTCAAGGTTCCTCGCTAAACGAAAGCTTTATTTAAAAAAAAGGAAGAGCTGCCTTTGTTCTCTAGTCCTCCTGGACCACTGACCACTGACCAGTGACCACTGACCACTGACCAGTGACCAGTGACCAGTGACCAGAGACCACTGACCAGGGACCAGTGACCAGTGACCACTGACCAGTGACCACTGACCAGTGACCAGAGACCACTGACCAGTGACCAGAGACCACTGACCACTGACCACTGACCAGTGACCAGTGACTTCACCAGTGACCAGTGACCACTGACCAGTGACCATTCACCAGTGACCAGTGACCACTGACCATGATTTAGTACAAAGTGACCAGTGAGTGGACCAGTGACCAGTGACCTGACCTGACCAGTGGGTGGACCAGTGACCAGTGAGGACTTAACCAGTGACTTGACCAGTGACTTTAACAGTGAGTCGACCAGAGACTTGACCAGTGACTTGACCAGTGACTTGACCAGTGACTTGACCAGTGACTTGACCAGTGACTTGACCAGTGACTTGACCAGTGACTTGACCAGTGACTTGACCAGTGACTTGACCAGTGACTGGACCAGTGACCAGTGACCAGCTCACATCGTGTCTCTTTAATATGAAGATGATCACTCCGTGTCTCTTTAATATGAAGATGAATCTTTGCTTTCATTTCCTTCGGCCCGGCTGTAAATGAGCGTCGTTGCTATTTATTTGGTCAAAACCATGAACCTTTTGTTGTCATTGTCACATGTTGCATCTCACCATTTAAAGTTGCTAATTGACCAAAGTTGACTGGTTTGATGAATAAACAATGTCTTTCTCTTGATACCATCAAATGAAGCGTCAATAGTCCTTATTTACACCATTCACACATTCTCTGAGACGATAGTCCAGGAGACGATATTTCATGGCGTCGTCGGACGTGGGCTCCCTGCAGAACCGCGTGGGAAACCCCATCGACCGCCTGTACTCCATGCAGAACTCTTACTTCGCGTCATGAGGGGGCGGAGCCGGAGGTAAAGAAAAAACAAAAAAAGAAGAAAAGCATCAGAGAAACAGAAGGAGCGTCAGGAACCTGAGGTCCACGGGCCTGGAGCTCCTCCACCGACCCCTGACCCGCTG